TCTAGTCTATACTTGTTTGCTGTGCCCCCTTTCCGTATGAGATATGGTTAGGTATGCTTGTTGGTTACACCACATTTTCACCTTTCACGTGAAACGTGTTAAGATTTGATGTTTACTTGGTTAAAACCTTTCCCTTCTCCGTATGAGATATGAGTAGGTGCGCCGGTTGGTTACACCACCTTTGCTCATTTCACGTGAAACATGTTAGGACTTTCACATTTTCTTGTTGGTTACACCACATTTTCACCTTTCACGTGAAACGTGTTAAGATTTGATGTTTACTTGGTTAAAACCTTTCCCTTCTCCGTATGAGATATGAGTAGGTGCGCCGGTTGGTTACACCACCTTTGCTCATTTCACGTGAAACATGTTAGGACTTTCACATTTTCTTGTTGGTTACACCACATTTTCACCTTTCACGTGAAATGTGTTAGGATTTGATGTTTACTCTGTTAAAACTTTTCCCTCTCCGTCTGAGATACAGTTAGGTACGCCCGTTGGTTACACCACCTTTGCTCCTTTCACGTAAAACATATTAGGATTTTCATCTTTGTCTGTTGGTTACACCACATTTTCACCTTTCACGTGAAATGTGTTAGGATTTGATGTTTACTCTGTTAAAACTTTCCCCCTCTCCGTCTGAGATACAGTTAGGTACGCCCGTTGGTTACACCACCTTTGCTCCTTTCACGTGAAACATATTAGGATTTTCATCTTTGCCTGTTGGTTACACCACATTTTCACCTTTCACGTAAAATGTATTAGGATTTGATGTTTTATTGATTAAAACCTTCCCTATCTCCGTATAAGATATGGGTAGGTACGCCTGTTGGATACACTACGTTTGCTCTTTTTACGTGAAACGTGTTAGGATTTACACCTTTGCTTGATGGTTACACCACATTTTCACTTTTCACATGAAACGTGTTAGGATTTGATGTTTACTTGGTTAAAACCTTCCCCCTCTCCGTATGAGATACGGTTAGGTATACTTGTTGGTTACATCACCTTTGCTCATTTCACATGAAACGTGTTAGGATTTTCACCTTTGCTTGTTGGTTACAGCACATTTTCACATTTCACATAAAACGTGTTAGGATTTGATTTTACCTTGTTAAAACCTTCCCCCTTTCCTTATGAGATATAGTTAGGTACGCTTGTTGGTTACACCAAATTTTCACATTTCATGAGAACGTGTTAGGATTTGATGTCTACCTGGTTAAAACCTTCCCCATTTCTGTATGAAATACGGTTAGGTATGTTTGTTGGTTACACCACATTTTCTCCTTTCACGTGGAATGTGTTAGGATTTGATGTTTACCTCGTTAAAACCTTCCCCCTTTCCGTATGAGATACAGTTAGGTATGCTTGTTGGTTACACCAAATTTTCACCTTTCACATGAAACATGTTAGGATTTGATGTTACCTGCTTAAAACCTTCTCTCTTTCCGTATGAGATACGGTTAGGTATGCTTGTTGGTTACACCACATTTTCACTTTTCATGTGAAACGTGTTAGAATTAGATGTTTACCTAGTTAAAACCTTCCCCTTTCCGTATGAGATACGATTAGGTATGCTTGTTGGTTACACCACATTTTCACCTTTCACGTGAAACATGTTAGGATTTGATGTTTATCCGGTTAAAACATTCTCCCTTTTCGTATGAAATACCACTAGGAACATCTATTGGTTACACAACTATACCTCCTCGAGTTCATTATTTTCTTCTCTCGCATGAAATGCATTTGGATCTTAGGTTCACTATTTCTCCTCTCACGTGAGACGTGTTTGGATTTTGAGTTCACCTTTCTTTGATCAACTAAGTTGTGGCACATTTAATGCAATGATATGGCACGTTTGTATGCAATGCACTCTCTCTATTATTTGTGTTGTGGCACATTTATATGCATTATACCCTATGTTATGCTTTATATCATTTGCACGAGGCTTGTCTCATATGTTACTATCTTCATATCTTTGTCATCACTCCACAACATTGAATCCTATTACATAATCATGAATTTTCAAAACAACCGGCTACGCGAAGCGTGTGATTCCAACTTTCAAATTGTAAGCCAAGCATGTCATTTGCATTCTGTCCCTGAACTACGCTGATTTGATTCCTTCCAATGGGATGCATAGGCAACCTTCAGGTTCAACCAGTTGCATTGCATCTTGTTTGTTTGCTCGAATCTTACGGCCCTGTCAAAGGGTCGTCTTCGAGCTTTGACATTCGCTCACGTCATGAAATGACTCCGAGCTTTATCAAAGAGGGCAACTGTAGACACCCCATTTTAATCGGCCCTAAGACTTGGGCGCTTTCTTTTGATCGCCTTATGATGAATAACAAAAAGCTGTTTCTCACAAAATCCTCAACAAGAAAAATGGAATTTGGTTTTCTCTCAAAAATCTTACGCCCATTTTGGCCAAACTATTTTAGACCTTAAAACCCTATTTTCAAAATATTTTTCCAAATGTTTCTACGATGTTCCGAGGCTCCCATTTCGATTAAACTATTGCACTTTTCAGTAAATCGAGTAAGTACAAAGTGGAGATAAATGGAAGGGAGGTGAACTCTTTGAAAAATATTTAAAAACATCTTCTTTATAGGTTTGGAGTTGAAGGAAATAGGAGGAGATGGAAGAAAACTGGTTTAGGAAAAGGATGAGCATCAAATCATTAAGAAATAAATGAACAACTTTTACTAAATTAGGCATATATATTTGTAAACTTGGAATTTAGATGTTAGGCCACCACCATTGGAAAGTAGACTTCTAGTGCTTCAATTTAGACTCAAGAATCACCTAAACCGAGTCCGGATAAGAGAGATATGGTCGTTTGAAATTGGGCTTAAGAGCATATTTTATTGACCCGGCCCGAGACAGTAGCTGACCCTTTTTTTTTTAGTTTTGGTTTGGTTGGGACACCCCATTGACCCATTTTATGATCCATTCAAGTGCACCCACTCATCCTCCATTATCTCCACTTACCCTCTATTATCAAAAGAGGTTTTGGCCTTGTCATAACGGATGAATCAAAAGCAACAAAGTCTTGATCATCATTATCATCCTTGTCATCCCCAACACCTTTGTCTTCCACCTTGTCCCCCATTCCTTGACTTTTTTATTCCTTCATGGCTTATACATTCAGATTGTTATTAAAGAGGGAGAGGAAGGAATGAGAGAAGAAGAACATCATTCAAGAGAGTTAGAGAGAAAAGAGAGCAAAAGAGGAAAAATTGTCTAAATTGCAATCTTGAGCCAACACACTTCCAAGCTTCCATAGCTATTGAAATTCCTCATTTCCATACACCAAAACCACTCCAAAAATTTTGATATAGCCAAAGATCGATTGCCTTGATCATAAGGAAGAGTGTTTATTGATTGAAAGTGAGAAAAATTAGAGAGTTAGCCACTTTCCATACCATAAACTCCATAATTTCGAATTGGGGATTTGAGAACACACTTCCTACACGTGAGGGTGATCAAGAGGGAGTTTGTGAACTAAGGAGTTCATCCTTTCCTTGGAAGGTGAATTTCACAAACTTCTCATTTTCTTGCATTTCTTACTTATTTTGCTCTTTTGCTTTGATTTCTTGTTATGTTATATATTTTTGTAATCTAATTGAAAGTGGTGAGTTGAGACTCTCATATGTATTGCTTTAGTTCTGTTGTTGTTGTGGAAAATCTAAGAAAACATATATATTTTAGTTGGCCGGGTAGCCACCTAAAAGTACACCATCGCGCCCGCGACCTTCATGACCGTGCCCGTGACCTCTAGGCAAAACCAAGCAGCCTTCCGACATTGAAAAGAACAACCTCCGATGGTCTTTGAGGCACTTGAAGCTGTTATTTTTTTATGTTTATTTTATTTTGAGTGTTTGTGAGGATTTTTATATTGTGTTATAATATTTATTCATCTCCCTCGGATTTGTAATATGTAAAGTGTTGTAATAATTCCCCATCCCCACTTCTTATCTATCGCATTCTTTAATCGCTTTCCCTAACTGTACATATGTATATATCTTGCATGCCATGCATATCCATGCTTTTACATGCATGATTCATGCCTAGATTTGGCTAAATTTGCATATTTGAGCTTTAATTGATTATTACCTGATTTTGTGCGCTATCGCATGTTTTGCAATGTTTCACATGTCATGTTTTAGAAACTGGATCTTTAAAAGCATTCTTGTGTTTGTATTGCATTAGGATTTTGTATATAAGATCATGCATATTTTACTAAGTTTGTTTTCTAACTGTTCGCGGGACGTCAATAAATATATAAATTGTTATGCTTTAGCATCCCGCTTGTACATAATTTTCTTATTATGTTTAGCATCCTACCATGTGGTTATTTGCTTATGTGATATATCTCCATAAATGCTGATGGATGGAGGTTGTGTCGCTTAATTTGGAATGATATTGATTTTCATGTTGTAAATTCAATTTTTTTGAGTTATGCATCTTCAAAACTCTTTCAAAAAACACATGAACTCAAATTGTTTCAAGATGAATGACATAGCCTATACTTGTATGCTTCACATAGTAACTTTTTAGGATCTATTAAATAAATCGAAATATGAACATATAAAGCAAATAAAACTCATATCATGGTTTAGTAAAGGCCGATCTTTGATTGGGTGAGCGGGGGTGCTCTTATTGACCTTCTTCTCTCATACCTAAGATTCTGAGCCAAGCATCTTTGATTATGACGAACAGTGGCCTTGGCACGAGTCATGAGTTTCCTAATTTTCCAAAATATTAGGTGGCGACTTTGAAATTTGATGACGTAATCCATTTTTGACAAAATTGCAATAAAATGGATTTTCAATAAAAGTTTCCAAATTTGGACTCTTATCTATGTTTCACATTTCATTTGTGAGACTAGATCGCAGAGATCTCGAGAGTCCGAACTGTTTAACGCACACGGGTACCCCTAGGTGATGTTACAAGAACATATTAGAAATTCCAAAGTAGAAAAAATAAATCAGTAATGGCTTCAACAAAAGCAGAGAAAAGAACTAAAATTCATAGTAATTATTCAAAATCCTTAGCATCATGAAGAATATCCAGCATATAACATATTATCATCACACAACATAACATAATTATAAGGAGAAAGAGCAAGAATTATTGCCAACCCAATCTCTCACTAGTCCCGAAGCAACCAATTGCCGAGTTAGTGCACAAAGGTTAAGGTTATAGATTGTCACAAATCCAACAATGTGGCCAATGACATCCGAGGCAGAAGACTTTTTTGCTCATCGAATGTACTGTAGAAGCATTTCCAAGAACGACATTTCCATAGAGAGAGAATTGTAATTGGGATGCTGCTCCACTAGTTGATTGGCTACTCTTCTCTTCTTGCTCCTTGTACACAAGATGGACTCCAACCTCCTTCACTTGAAAATCTTCATTTCCAACCACTGAAATATTCAGTTCATCCCCACCTTTCAACTGATTTTCAAACTTCCAATAACTTAACCACATCATATCCTCATCAGCTTCTGGAATGCCAATGACTTTTGGGGAATGGCTCCAAATCAGACTCTTGGTTGTATTATTGATAATAGTATGTGTGTCACAATCATCGTCAAGATATTCTGAATTATTGGAAAGTGCATAAATAGAACACACACTCAAGGCTTGAATTCTGAAATGCGATGGCACTTTAAAAGATATTGAAGATCCTATATTTTTAATATTAAACCAAGTTGGAATCTTGCTTTCCGGAAGATAAGCGTAAAACATGTGTTCTTCATGACATCCCTGTACCAAAGAAACCATAATTTAACCATTACAATTTTTTATTATTTTTATTTTTGTTTATTTTGAGAGAGAGAGACAGAGAGAGACCTGTAGGGGAAGCTTCTTTTGATTCTCTAAGTACATCTTTGAAAGCGTAACAGTTGGGCTTCCCATGGATCCAAAGTTGGGCAAGCCCAAATTATTCATCATCTCCACATCAATATTCCCTATGGGTTCTAACTTAAATGCGCCCACGACCTCAACTATATTGTCGCACATATTATAGAATACTAATGGTCTGCAATGCTCCATCATAACAAATTGATTCTCCCATGAGTCATTATATTGCATGGTTAATGGAGCTGAATAAGCTATACATTTTGAGTTGTAAAACTCTTCCAAATTCTGCAACTTTATATATGCATCACGAAGGTTCTCGAATTCTATGGTTGATGATGAAAATGATTGAAATGTTACTTTCTCCAACAATGTACATTCAATGACTGACAATACTTTCAAATTCTGCTCCACTATAAGTGATTGAAGCCTTTTACACTCTTCTAATTCAAGGATCTGAAGCCCTGTAACACCTCCAATGCTATTTGGGAGGCTACAAATTGGATTATTGCTCAGATTTAATATCTGCAATGAGGATAGGTTGCTAAGATCCTTTGGAAAAGCATCCTCTGATAAATTGCAATCCATAAGACTTAAGTGTACCAAATACCGTGGTAAAAGAGCCCATGAAATTTCTACACTTTTTCTTGGTTTCAATAGAGAAGACCAGATGAATGAATACCATGGTTTGACCTCCTTAGTGGTAGAGAGTAATGGACTTACGACAGTTCCATTTGCATTAAACTTTGTTAAAGAATCCATAGTCCCTATCTCTATTGGCAATTCCTTAATATTTGAGCAACCTGAGATGTCAAGAGTTTCCAAAAATTTTAGCATAACAATGATTCTTGGAAGCTTCCTTAGATTTTTGCAATTTTTCAAATTTAATAAAACAAGTCTCTGAAGGTGTCCAATAGATTCATGAACCTCTACCAGCCTTGCACAATTTTCAAGTATTAGTCGCTCAAGATTGGGTACTTCCAAGAAATCAGGAGTTTCGGAAAGGCAATGGGAATAACTAAGATCAAGGATTTTTAATGACTCGAGAAACTGTAATAGAAAAAAATGATGGTTATTGTTTCTTTTAATTCTCAAACAAAATTGAAATGAAAACAAACAAATGAGTAACATACCTTGGTTCCTTCCCAAACCTTTTGCAAGTTGCTATACGGCATCTCCAGAACAACCAAGTTATCCAAAGGGAAATCATCACATATAGAGTTGAAAGAGAATCCATGCCAACACAACCATCGTAATCCTTTCGGAAAATTTTCAAAGCTTCCATTGACTTGTAAATTTTTGAGTTGCAAAAGTTTTAGTTTGTGCATCCTTGCAAATGCATCAACTTCCAAAGCTATCTTATATGAATTTCGTAGAGCAATGCCTACTGTCTGCCAGGAGAAGATGCCAAAACGACGTCTTTTAAACGAATTTCCTACATTTGACATCAAAGATGTGCTGAGGAATTCTTTAAAATGACGTTTCTTTTAAACGAATTTCCTACATTTGACATCAAAGATGTGCTGAGGAATTCTTTAAAATGACGTTTTCTATTGACACCAATGACTGTCTTGTCATATTTATCTTCCAAAAAATTCATATCAAGTATAAGGCCTTCAATTTTTCCTGTCCCCTAATAAATAATAAGAGGGAGATGACATTGATCAAGAAGAGTAATGTTAGACCCCAAAATATATATATATATATATATATACACAAAATTCTCATACAAAATGTTATAACTTTCATTTTAAAAAAAAACCACCAATGTAAATGATTTTTTATTTTTTATTTTTTTGGGTATGAAGTTTCTAAGTTTGGATCATTTTTTGATAACTATAGAAATACATACAAATATAAATGAGGAGAAGGATTAATTCTTACAGTATTTTCTCTCAAGACATTGAAGGAATCCTTATGATTCCAGAGTCTACTACGTTCTCCTGGCTCCTTAAGTGATTCTTGACGAACAATTTTTTTTCCCATTTCTTGAATCAATTGATGCATCACCAACTTTTTGCGTGTATTAATCATTAACAGACATCTATCAATGGGATTTTGAATCCCAACTGTTGTGTAAAAATCACATCCATCTAGAATTGTAACTACCCAATCTTCATCCATCCCAACAAAGAAACAAGCAACATGGAGGAATAAATTTTTGTCATGGTCATCTTGTAAAGAGTCATAGCTTATTTTGAGTTTTTCAATGACTTGATAATTAGGAATCGCTTTCAATTTCTCCAATTGACTTTTCCAGACATTTAAGCTTTTCCCTGACAGCGAAGAACCCAAAATTTTTATAGCTAGTGGAAGCCCTCCACAATATTGTATCACCCTTTTTGAGACCTCTATGAAACCATCAATGGGACGGTTTTGTCCAAAGGCATGCCAACTAAAGAGCTCTAAAGACTCACTGTAATCCAAATTTTCAACCTTGTGAATGTGGCGAACTTCATGAGCCCTTAGCAACCGCTCATGTCTAGTGGTTATGATGATTTTACTACCTTGAAAAAGCCAATCTCGCATTCCAAGTATTGCATCTAGTTGGTCTATTGTATCCACATCATCAAGAATTATAAGAACTCTTTTGCAATGTAATGCATCTTTAATTTTAACAATTCCTTCTTCAACATAATACAACTTTTTCTTTCTTCCCTGTAAAATATCTAAAAGAAGTTGTCTTTGTAATTGAAGTAAACCATTTGGTTGTTTTAGAGTTTCGCTTACATTTGCAAGAAAACTGCTTTCTTTGAACTTTGAGAAGTTCGAATTATATAGAAATTTGGCAATGGTTGTCTTTCCTATTCCACCTATCCCACAAATTGCGACTATACCAACATCACTAGACCCATCTCGTAACCAAAGCCCAATATTCTTTGCTCGGGAATGTATTCCAATCAAGTAAGGGGAATTCGCCAAGATAGTGCGTCTTAGTATGTCTGAAACAACTTCTACAATTTTGTGGATAAATTTTGACTCGAGTCTAAAGACAAGATCAAGATTTAAAATAAAGCACAATAAGAATGCAATGACTTGAAATTAATTATAAATTCTCATGCAATAATGAACAAAATGACTATGTTATTTATTGTCTTTGTTAAAACAATTAGACAAGTCCTAGATGAAAAGAAAAGAGATTTTACAATCATTGTTTTACAATCAACGTTTTGGATCAATACTATTTTTTCAAATATAAATTGTTTTCCCTGTTTTGCATTTTTATGAGAATTTAGTAAGCTTATAAGTTATTAAATTTTTGAAGAATAGTCTAATTTTTTTCAATGAAATTTTAGGACTAGTAATACCAAGACCCCTCAATTATTGGTAAATATATATGATTTATCACCTCAACTACTAAAAGCATATCACTTTCACCTCTTTGTACGGTTTTTATAATTGAAGGAATCAATATATATAAGTTCATAAATAAAGTAAAGTAATGCGGGCTATTAGTTAATGGGATCTATCTTGGTGTGATTAACCCAAATTTTTATGATTGAAAATGAACAACTTCATGTGATCTTTTCAAATAGCTTGAAAGGGAGAACCATCTCAAAAAATCATAGTTAATAAAACGAAGTTTTATTTGGGTATTATGAAGAACTTCCTGTGAACCTGTACCGATTTGAAAAGAAACCAACTGGATGTTCCCTCAAGGACAATTTAACTTCTATATTTGAGGTTATATTTTAAAAATTAAAAGATGTCAAACTCTTGGAATTTAAAAAAAATAAATAAAAAGTTCATCCCAAATTTTGATCAAATAATTTTTAATCTAAAAGGCCCTCGTATGAAATACTTTTAACTACAAAATCCCAAAAAAGGGTGATGCAAGTAATGCTTAGCTAAAAGAGAAAAATTACCCGTCAGCTTGATTTTGTAAATCCATCCCTACTAAATCTGCAGCTTCTCTGAGTGCTGCTCTCCATTCTTGTATCTTGCCCTTCTGTTCATCTTTTTTTCCAGCTCCTTCTGTATGGAATCTCTCTTCATGCCTCGTGAATGCTTCTTCGAAACTTTCCATTTGCTTCCTCACATGGGATGGATCCACATGATAGAAGACAGGTAGCACTACATGCCCAGTAGTCCTTCTACATTTGAGGATCATCACAAGTTCATCAAGACACCAGCTCGAAGAAGCATAGTTTTTTGAGAAGACAACTATTGACATCCTCGACTCTTGAATTGCTTTCTGCAATTCAAACTTCATATTTTCTCCTCTTTCAATCTCGTCATCATCTCTAAAGGTGCGAAATCCACTATGATTTAAAGCTGTGTAGAGGTGGTTAGTGAACGTCTTGCGAGTGTCTTCACCTCTGAAACTCAAGAACACATGATAACTACATGGAGAATCCGAAGAAGAGGCATCTTGGGCTCCAACAATCGCCATTGGATTAAAGCTCCACAAAGAATTAAGGACAGAAGAGCTATGAGATGGGATTAATGCTATCTGTCAAGGCATCATATATGTTTTATAAGAGATGTGACTATACATATATAACCATATATCTAAAAAGGTAAGGAAATGCTACCATAATTTACCCGTTGATTTATGATTTATCCTGGAAGCTTCAAAGCGAGTGTGAATGGGCAATTTAAGGACACCTGTTTGTGGACATTTTCGGCATGGAAGAAGCTGCTTGGAAGTTGGGGTTACAAATGTGTGGGAAAAGTGGTGGGATGAGCAAGGTTGGACAAAAATGCTGAGAAAGTGGGGATTTTTATTTTTATTTTTATTTTTATTTTTATTTTTTTACCAAATTCAGTATATTTAACATAATTTTAAAACTTGAAAGGGTCCATTTTATAATACACTTTTCTTTTTCTTGTTTTTGGGTATATATCACATATAAGTTATGATAATTTATGATATTTTTAGTTATAACTAAAAAAATACAATGGAACATAATCAAACGTAATTTAAGACATAATAACAATTCCAATAGGTTATAACCACCCTACCAAAATGGGTCACAACACCAATTATAACTAACGCTGTAACTATTCATAATAAACACCACAATTTTATTTTTAGTGGCAAAGAAAAATTTATTTGATGAAAATTCAATAGACATAGAAAACAATTGATCAAAACCAAAGACAACAAAACTTGTGAGTGGATATATATATATTTTAACTTGGTATAATTGTAAGTGGACATATAGTACACCTCTTTTTTGAAATGTGTAATATGGAATTTTTTAACTTAAAATTGTTTGGAATTTTTTAACTTAAAGTTATTTTGAATTTATATATATATATTTATATGTTATTTTGTAAAATGATATTTTAAAAATATAATTTTAAATTTTAAATTTTGTTTTCAACTTCAATTACTTTATTAAAAAAAAAAAGATCAATTGTCATCAGTGTGTTTGGTTTGAGTTTTCTAGATTAAGTTTTTTGAAAACTGAGTTTTTTAGTTTTCGTATTCTTTTATTTTTAGTGAATATTTTTTAAATTTTAAACATTTTTTTTTACTTTTTTAGATGCACCTTAGTTAGATGTATCTAAAAAGTTTACTTTTATTTATGTGTCTTGTAAATCATTATAAAGAACTTGAAGAGGAATCTATGAGAGTGTAATGGATTTCAATTTATAAAATTATTTACTTTTATTTATGTGTCTTGTAAATCATTATAAAGAACTTGAAGAGGAATCTATGAGAGTGTAATGGATTTCAATTTATAAAATTATTTACTTTTATTTATGTGTCTTGTAAATCATTATAAAGAACTTGAAGAGGAATCTATGAGAGTGTAATGGATTTCAATTTATAAAATTATTTACTTTTATTTATGTGTCTTGTAAATCATTATAAAGAACTTGAAGAGGAATCTATGAGAGTGTAATGGATTTCAATTTATAAAATTATTTACTTTTATTTATGTGTCTTGTAAATCATTATAAAGAACTTGAAGAGGAATCTATGAGAGTGTAATGGATTTCAATTTATAAAATTATTTACTTTTATTTATGTGTCTTGTAAATCATTATAAAGAACTTGAAGAGGAATCTATGAGAGTGTAATGGATTTCAATTTATAAAATTATTTACTTTTATTTATGTGTCTTGTAAATCATTATAAAGAACTTGAAGAGGAATCTATGAGAGTGTAATGGATTTCAATTTATAAAATTATTTACTTTTATTTATGTGTCTTGTAAATCATTATAAAGAACTTGAAGAGGAATCTATGAGAGTGTAATGGATTTCAATTTATAAAATTATTTACTTTTATTTATGTGTCTTGTAAATCATTATAAAGAACTTGAAGAGGAATCTATGAGAGTGTAATGGATTTCAATTTATAAAATTATTTACTTTTATTTATGTGTCTTGTAAATCATTATAAAGAACTTGAAGAGGAATCTATGAGAGTGTAATGGATTTCAATTTATAAAATTATTTACTTTTATTTATGTGTCTTGTAAATCATTATAAAGAACTTGAAGAGGAATCTATGAGAGTGTAATGGATTTCAATTTATAAAATTATTTACTTTTATTTATGTGTCTTGTAAATCATTATAAAGAACTTGAAGAGGAATCTATGAGAGTGTAATGGATTTCAATTTATAAAATTATTTACTTTTATTTATGTGTCTTGTAAATCATTATAAAGAACTTGAAGAGGAATCTATGAGAGTGTAATGGATTTCAATTTATAAAATTATTTACTTTTATTTATGTGTCTTGTAAATCATTATAAAGAACTTGAAGAGGAATCTATGAGAGTGTAATGGATTTCAATTTATAAAATTATTTACTTTTATTTATGTGTCTTGTAAATCATTATAAAGAACTTGAAGAGGAATCTATGAGAGTGTAATGGATTTCAATTTATAAAATTATTTACTTTTATTTATGTGTCTTGTAAATCATTATAAAGAACTTGAAGAGGAATCTATGAGAGTGTAATGGATTTCAATTTATAAAATTATTTACTTTTATTTATGTGTCTTGTAAATCATTATAAAGAACTTGAAGAGGAATCTATGAGAGTGTAATGGATTTCAATTTATAAAATTATTTACTTTTATTTATGTGTCTTGTAAATCATTATAAAGAACTTGAAGAGGAATCTATGAGAGTGTAATGGATTTCAATTTATAAAATTATTTACTTTTATTTATGTGTCTTGTAAATCATTATAAAGAACTTGAAGAGGAATCTATGAGAGTGTAATGGATTTCAATTTATAAAATTATTTACTTTTATTTATGTGTCTTGTAAATCATTATAAAGAACTTGAAGAGGAATCTATGAGAGTGTAATGGATTTCAATTTATAAAATTATTTACTTTTATTTATGTGTCTTGTAAATCATTATAAAGAACTTGAAGAGGAATCTATGAGAGTGTAATGGATTTCAATTTATAAAATTATTTACTTTTATTTATGTGTCTTGTAAATCATTATAAAGAACTTGAAGAGGAATCTATGAGAGTGTAATGGATTTCAATTTATAAAATTATTTACTTTTATTTATGTGTCTTGTAAATCATTATAAAGAACTTGAAGAGGAATCTATGAGAGTGTAATGGATTTCAATTTATAAAATTATTTACTTTTATTTATGTGTCTTGTAAATCATTATAAAGAACTTGAAGAGGAATCTATGAGAGTGTAATGGATTTCAATTTATAAAATTATTTACTTTTATTTATAATAATGGATTGGGAATAAATGATGTGCTATGATTTTCGGGGCGTTACAGAAAATGTAATGAAAGAGAAAGTGTTTAGGGTTTATTTATAGTTCAAGGACAAAAGAAGGTATTTAGACCTAAAGTCACTAAAAGAAATAAAAAAGATCCCAAAAAGATTGGCCAAAACGCAGCAGGAAATTCTATAAATGTCGACACCTTCAACAATGGTGTCGACACCAAAAACCAATCAGCCTGTTTGGTTCCATTTTTGGGAATTCAATTTTTTAGAAAAATTTAGACTTTCTATTTGGAAAAAATAAAAAATAAAAAAAAATCTAAAACTCAATTTTCTGAATACACCTTGGAAATAGAAATATTCTATTTGCTTTATTGCTCAATGGTTAGTTGTTGTACCGTTAGACCCAAAATCCAAGGCATCCCACTTAGTCATTGTATTATGGGGGGAATTTTGAATTGTTGTTCAAAAATTCAAAAAAAACTAGAACAACCAAACAATGATCCATTTTCTAAAAACATTTTTAGAACAAAATTTGGGAAATTAACTTAGAAAATTGAAACCAAATAGGCTGAATGGTGTTTCAAGAGAGTTTGGGTCAGGTAGGGTGTCGACACCTACAAGCCCTGGTGTTGATACCAAAAAGCAATTGAGAAATTCTTATTTTCCAGAATTAGCGGTGTCAACACCTGGAAGAGGTGGCGTCGACACCAACAAACAGAATCGAAAGAGAAAGAAAAGGAGAAAGTAGGTGTTGACCCTAGGAAACTAAGTGTCGACACATTTAATCAGAATTTTGGGGTTCTAAGGCATTTTTCAACCAAAACCGAGTGCAAAAGAACTACCTAATCAAAGTCTAAATCAATTCACACTCAACCAACACAATAATACACAACTCGAAAGATCCAAACAACAAAATGATGAAAAAAATAAAAATAAACACATGTTCTATTAACTTAAAGAGTACAAGTGCTACAGAAGGGTTCAAAGACTTCAAAGCTTGTTGTTCCTAAACTAAGAAGCTTCTTGTTATATTCAAGGAATCTGGACAAATTTGATTATTGCTAGAAATGGCAATGCTATTGGAGTGGAAAAATCTAATGTAAGAGCCATGAGAAGCTTAAGAAGAGGTTTTCGAATAAAGTATTGAGGATCTTGAATGCATTAAAAGGTTTGAAATTGTGAAAAAAAAAAGAGTTGTGCTATCTCTAAAGAGTTTTTGAAAAGAATTTTGAATTGATTGTTTGATTATGTAACGCCCCCAAAATAATACCATAGAAATAACCCAAAGCACCAACAAAAATTACATAAATCAGAGCATGAGTAATCATTTCATTACATGAAGTTGATAATACAAGGGAGTTTATCATAAACAAATGCCCCTCGGGCTTACATTTTCCAAAGACATTACTTGGTTACAACAAAAGAGAGTCATATGCTCGATACATATAAAGCCATTGGCTTGAATAAACATTTAAACATCTAAACAACAAAGTAGAGCCTCCAGCTCCTAAGTCCTCCCAAGCTATGTCCTTAGAAGAAGCATATCACCAGTACCTAAAAATGATTTCCCAAGTAGGGTGAGCCAAAACCCAGTAGAGATAGCCTAACATAATATATGAAGTTTAACTAAGATAAAAGTGCCAAGTAAACGTTCCACATTCATAACCAACTCACATTCTGTCCACATTCATCAATACTTATACCCGCATCTCAATTCCATTTCCATCTATCCAATTCGTATTAATTCAATTAATTTCTGAGCCAATTCATGAGACAAGCTTATTGTTATCTAAACAATCCAAAATGAGGCTACAACTCAGTGATTCACAACTCAATACTACTATTATTCAAACACTTCAATTTTGCCATTTAACGGAATTTTCATCCAAGGGAACCGGCACCCATATATACACAAGATACGAATTTTTGCCATTTTACGGAATTTTCATCCGAGGGAACCGACACCTATATATGCACAAGATATGAAGTTTTGCCATTTTACGAAATTTTCATC